TAAGAGACTGAGCTATAAGCCCTGGGTTCAAGTCCCACCTCTGCAGTGAGGTCCTCCGAAATCAAATTATCTTAATGCAATACCAATGGTCAAGTACCTAGCAATACAGCGGAAAGACTTCTCCACAGACAGGTGCCAATGTTCCGAAATTCTTCCTTGTCATTTATTGTTCCTGCTGTCCCTTTTTCTTGTTTATAGTAAATATCCAGCCTGACGAAGAATTCTGTGGGGTCTGGAAGCTTATTGTTTTGTGCTATTTTGGTTGGTTTTAATAAAACATTACTGCACAGAAGTGCTGTCTTTTGGCATTTTTCCAGGGACAAATATGGCTGCAGCCTTCGCCTTGAGTGCAACCAAGGATACTGGGACAAAGAAACAATAGCTGTTCTTTTCAAATCATAATCACTCCGTTTTCAAAAGTTGTCCCTAGTAGCCATTGGAATGCCAAAGTCCCTTGTAAAGCAGAGCGCAGAACCAAAAGAAAGATTGCAAAACAACAGTGCAGGGGGCTGTTACATGCAGACAATATTTTATTGGGTAGAAACATCTTCCAACCCACGATTATTTCAACAAAACAAGGTTTGCTTCCCCCACACATTGTGCCTTTTGTTCCAAAGAAAATCTAAACACTGTTTGTAAATTATGTCCCTTGTGGCGTTCTCCCTTTTTCCTAATTAAGGACAAAAATATATATTTTTGCTCCATAAAAAAACCTCACTGCATTTCAGTAGAAAACTTAATATACCATGGAAACTTTAATAACTGTGGCAAGGCAATTCTCTAAAATAGTGCAATATTTGGAGTCTTTTGACCATGAGTCCCCCCCCTTCCTCCAACGGCACAGGTGCAACCTCTTGTGCACACCTAACAGCACTGTTCCTTTGCATAAGCCCCATTGTTATTGACAGGATGGCTAAAGGGGTATAATCCCCGGTGAATATGCTGCACTCCGCAAGAGGAAAGAGACACTGGATGTTGCCATGTCCTATTCTGTGACAGGCGTTCCAAAATTTGTTTGCATTCCAGACTGAAGCTGGGTAGACATTTGATGTTTCTGTAGCAGAACGGGCCTGATTTCAGCCTCTGGCTAGAGGCTTTTACACACTTATTCTCTTTCTACAGCAGAAATCAACTTTATCTTATTAAAATGTGACTGCTTCAAAGTCTCACACCGTTACTTTTAAGACTAACAAAGGTATATTCAAGGTATGAGCTTCCGTGTGCATGCACACTTCATCAAATACGAGAGTCCAGTGGCACTTTGAGAAGAAGAGATTGGATTTATACCCCACCCTTCACTACCCAAAGGAGTCTCAGAGGGGCTCACAAACTCCTTTCCCTTCCCCTCCTCACAACAGACACCCTGTGAGGTGGGTGGGGCTGAGAGAACTCTGACAGAAACTGCTCTTTTTCAAGGACAGCTGTGCCAGAACTATGGCTTGCCCAAGGTCATCCAGCAGGTACAAGTGGAGGAGTGGGGAATCAAACCCGGTTCTCCCAGATTAGAGTTCGCACACTTAACCACTACACCAAACTGGCCAACAAAGCTGCACACGAAAGCTCCTACCTTGAATAAACCTTTGTTGGTCTTAAAGGTGCCACTGGACTCTAAATCTGCTTCAGACCAACACGGCTGACCAACTGGATCTGTCAGTTACTGTGCAGTATCAACCTGGAGCCATGCGTTACTCCAAAACGTAACATGGCAAAACGTAAAACGTGTCACTTCGAGGGCTGATCATTCACTCGCAGCCTGAGCCACCTCACCAGATTATTGTGAGGGTAAAAGGGGGAAAGGAGGACAATGTAGAGGCATGTCTTGAGCAATGTTCCCTCTAAGCTATGGAGCCCTGTGAGCAGAAATTCTACTTTGTGAGCTATTGGCATTAAAGTTGTGAGCAGGAGATTTGGCTGCTGCATAAATTAGTTTGTTCTGGAGCCCTCCTTCCTGAGCTAAGACAAAAATGTGTGAGCCAGAGGCTAAAAAACTGTGAGCTAGCTCACACTAACTCAGCTGAGAGGGAACACTGGTCTTGAGCTCCTTGGTGAAACAGCAGGATAGAACTTTGAGAAACAGACAGAGGACTCATCAGTAAGGTGAAGGTTTCCCTTGCTCGAAAGCCAGTTGAATCTGACTCTAGGGGGCGGTGCTCATCTCCGGTTCCAAGCCGAAGAGCCAGCGCTGTCCGAAGACTTCTCCATGGTAATGTGGCCGACATGACTAAACGGCGAGGCACATGGAACACTGTTACCTTCTCACTGAAGCGGTACCTATTTATCTCCTTGCAATTTCTTGCTTTCAAACTGCTAGGTTGGCAGGAGCTGAGGTCAGAGATGGGAGCTCACTCCGTCAAGTGGCACTCAGGTCTCAAACTGCTGAACTACAGACGTTCCGGTCTGCAGCTTAGCGTCTTAATCTCTGAGCCACCGCAGCCCTGACTGATCAGTAGGCCTCAACAAATCCCTTGCCTCTGGCTAGAGTCCCTGTTTACTTTCCGAGATCTGGGTGACTACGAAGGGAGAGGGGATTTCCTGCACAATAATCGTACTTCAGTAGAAAAATGTAAGAGTCCATAAATATCTGAAGAGGTGAGCTGTGACTCATGGAAGCTCCTCCCCTGCCACGAATCTTGTTAGTCTTTAAGGTGCTACTGGAGTTTTCTCTACTGCTACAGACAGACAGACAGACAGGCTACCCATCTTGACCAATCACGTTACTGCAAAGCCAAGCTTGACAAGACCCCTTTCACCAAGTTCCCTGGCACGTGTTGAGGTCGAGGGGTGGGGAGAGGTTCGGGAAAGCACAAATTTGTTGACTAGCAAGCCGAGCCAAAATCTGAGCATCACCTGGAAGGAAATGTGTGTAGAAGGGGGAGGGGACTGAGAGAGGCCAGAGAAAAGAAGGGAACAGGGGCCAAGAGGAGCCGAGTTCTAAAATGAAGGACGGAGACTTTTAGTGGAATGGGATGTCAAGGTCGTCTTTCATCCGTGCGGCAGGGCACAAAGGCCGCTGCCGAGCAACACAGCTTTTGGCAACCCTGGAGGGCTCTTCCCTTTGACTAACCCCGGAAACATCCACCAGCGAATGCTGGTCATCCACAGCAACATCACCCCCCCCACATGACAAGAGGGAGCCGGTCTACCCTTGCCGTAGGAGGGAGGTAACCTTTTAAAAAAACGCTGGAAGTGTTTGCTGAAGGACTGGCCAAGGTGAGCACAGAGCCTCAGGGGAAAGCGGGGGGGGGGGGGGCAGGGGGGGGGGAA